CAAGTCGGTGTTCCAAGGAGTAATTTTTTCTTCTGACTCCCTTGATAATCTCACTGGTACAGGGTGCGCCATACATTTGGTAACAACTTTTCGGACGCCCATTATCTCCTTGTTTGTAGGGTCTCTCTAAATCTGCATCTTCCCTTATGTTTATGATACAAGGCGGCTAAGCACGCTATTGCGTGCGCTAGGGGCTCTAACCAAGGGACAGAACTACCGAGCCTCTTCCCTGACACCTCTGTAGCGGCCATCGTTTTTTTGGGAAGTGAGATGGGGTCGTGTTTGACCATAAAGAGTACTCCGATGAATACAAATCAAATACCTCTGTAGTCCATGTAGTCAAAGAAATGCTGCGTAGTTTGGGTTGTGTGTGGCCATGGACGCTAACTTTAAAAGGAGGGCCCTTTTCGGTAGTTGTAGGGATTTGCACGTCTTTACAGGGTATGCCTGTACGGCCGGGGATGTTGTATAATTTACTTCATGAGGTCTACAGTTGATGTAGTCATTCGCTCTAGGTAGAAGGGACTATTGTGTGTGGAAACATGGATACAAACTTTTAGAAAATTTTTAGCCTAATTTTTGAAAGAGTTTAGGGGTATCCCCTAGTTGTACACCTATGCGGTCAGGGTTAGTGTGAAGGACGAATGTACAAATTTTTGATCTTAGCTCCGCCCCTCTCTTTGCAAACTCCACCCACTCCACACTTCGAACCACATTATTTTTATTACCTCCAGACAACTTTTCCCCTCGTTATAAAACGCATCTGAAGAGACTCGATAATTTTTATGTAAGCCCTCTTCAGTGCCAATCCCCTCCACTTGTGGCATCTGACCACATTTGTTCTTTTACACCTTGATACCTTTTTGCCGCATCCCAGAACGTTTCTGAATAGAGTTATAAAGAGAGTAGAGATCTAAGCTCCGCCAACTTTGGCGCCAGCCCCGCCCACTTCGAGGGTTTGGCCACATTTGTTCTTTTGCACCTTGATACCTTTTTGCCGCATCCCAGAACGTTTCTGTACAGAGTTATAAATTTTTGTTTTA